CGGTAAACAGGAAACATAGGGAGAGAGAAAGAAAAAGAGACATATAGAAGGAGGAAAATAAAAAAAGAGAAGAAAAGAAAGAGGAGAGAAACAGGAGAGAGAAAGGAGAGAAACAGGAGACAGAGAGAGAGAGAGAGAGAGAGAGAGAGAGAGAGAGAGAGAAATAAAGGAGAGAAACAGGAGACAGAGCGAGAGAGAGAGAAAGAAAGGAGAGAAACAGGAGATAGAGAGAGATATAGAAAAAAGGAGAGAAACAGAAGACAGAGGGAGAGAAAGAAAGGAGAGAAACAGGAGACAGAGAGAGAGAGAGAAAAAGAGAGAGATAAAGAGAGAGCGCGGAGAGAAACAGGGGACAGAGAGAGATAAACAGGAGAGAAAGAGAGAAACAGGAGAGAGAGGAGAGAAAGAGAGAGGGGGGAAACGGGACAGAGAGAGAGAGATAGAAACAGGAGACAGAGAGAGAGGAAGAAAGAAAGAGGAACAGGAGACAAAGAGAGAGGAAGAAAGAGGAGAGAGAGAAAGAAAGGAGAGAAACAGGAGACAGAGAAAGAGAGGAAGAAAGAAAGAGAGAGAAAGAGGAACAGGAGACAGAGAGAGAGGGGAAGATAGAAAAGGAGAGAGAAATGAGGAGTGAAAGAAAGGAGAGAAACAGGAGATAGAGAGAGAATGAAAGCAGAGAAACAGGAGACAGAGAGAGAGGAAGAAAGAAAGAGAGAGAAAGAGGAACAGGAACAGACAGAGAGAGAGGAAGAATGAAAGAGAGAGAAAAAGAAAGGAGAGAGAAAGAAGGAGTGAAAGAAAGGAGAGAAACACGAAATAGAGAGAGAAAGAAAAGAGAGAAAACAGGAGACAGAGAGAGAGAGAAAAGAAGAAAGAAATGAGAGAAACGGGAGACAGAGAGAGAGAGAAAGAAAAAGAGATGTATAGAAGGAAGGAAAGAGAGAAGAGAGAGAGAGAGAAAAAGAAAGCGGAGAGAAACAGGAGACAGAGAGAGAGAGAAAACGAAAAAAAAGGAGGGAAACTGGAGACAGAGAGAGAGAGAAAGAGAGAAATAATGAGCGAACGAAAGTAGAGAAACAGGAGACAGAGAGAGAGAAACTGGAGAAAGACAGAGAGAAAGGAGAGAAACAGGAGACAGAGAGAGAAAGACAGAAAGGAGAGAAACAGGAGACAGAGAGAAAGAAAGGAGAGAAACGGGACAGAGAGAGAGAGAGAAAGAGAGAAACAGGGGACAGAGAGAGAGAGAAAGGAGAGAAACAGGAGACAGAGAAGAAAGAAAGAGAAAGGAGAGAAACAGGAGATGGAAAGAGAGAGAGAAAGGGGGGAAACAAGAGACAGAGAGAGAGAGAGAGAGAGAAAGAAGGCGAGAAAAAGAGGAACATGAGACAGAGAGAGAGGAAGAGAAAGAAAGAAATGAGAGAAACAGGAGATGGAGAGAGAGAAAGAAAGGAGAGAAACAGGAGACAGAGAGAGAGAAAAAGAAAGGAGAGAAACTGGAGAGAGAGAGAAAAGAGAGACAGGGCAGAGGGAGAGAGGAAGAAAGAAAGAGAAAAAGAAAATGCGAGAAAGGAGAGAAACAGGAGACCGAGAAAGAGAAAGGAGAAAACCAGGAGACAGAGAGAGAGAGGAAGAAAGAAAGGGAGAGAGAAAGAAATAAAGAATTTGTGGGGGCATCTCCACTGCAATTATCTATCTCATTTAGCATACCCTAAACAAAACCACCCTCAACACTTTCCTCTTTTGACCTTGCATTTGGCCTTGCTACTACCAAAGAGGTCACTAGAGTTTTCTCAGAAGCCCGTCTTACCACCAGTCCCATGGATCCTGTTCCTTCTCAACTACTACGGTCACCCTTTTATCCTATGCTCCCTCACTCACATCTTTAATCTCTCCCTCTCTACTGGCACCTTCCCCTCCCCTCTAAAGCATGCACAGATCACTCCCATATTTACAAAGCCCTCACTGGACCCCACCAACCTGAACAACTTAAGACCCATCTCCCTGCTCCCATTTACCTCTAAACTCTTAGAAAGCTTAGTCTACAATGGTCTGAGCTCCTACCTCACTGACAACAACCTTCTTGACCACTTAGTCTGGCTTTCGCTTGCAGCACTCCACTGAAACTACCCTACTAAAACTCACTAAAACCTCTCTGCGGCTTTTGATACTGTTGACCATCCCCACTTCAACTCCACTCTCTTGGCCTTCGAGACTCTGCTCTCCCCTTGGTTCTCCTCTTATCAGGGGCGGACTGACAACTCATGGGGCCCCCCGGGCAATAGGGGATCATGGGGCCCCTGTGTCCTTGCCCAAACTCAAAAAAGCCAAAAGCTTATGAAAAAGGTACCAGGGGCATCTCATGGGGCCCCCTACTGACCCCAGGTCCTCGGGCAGTGCCCGAGTTTCCAAATGGTCAGTCCGCCCCTGCCTCCTATCACAGTGCTCCTTCAACTCTATACCTATAACTCTGTCTCCTTCTCTCCACTTCCTTTTGCTGTAGGGGTCCCCCCAGGTTCTGTCCTTGGACCCCTTCTCTTCTCCATCTACACCTCCTCCCTTGGTCACTTGATAAACCCCCATGAGTTCATGTACCATCTCTATGCTGATAACACACAAATATATCTCTCTACTCCTCACAAATCTACCTCCTTTACTCCTCACCACTCAGTCTCCTCTCGCATTACTAACTGATGGATATGAATTGTTACCAGAGGTGGACTGACCATTTAAAAACTCGGGCACTGCCCAAGGGCCCGGGGTCAGTAGGGGGCCCCATGAGATGCCCCTGGTACCTTTTTCACAGGCTTTTTTGAGTTTGGGCAAGGACACAGGGGTCCCATGATCCCCTATTGCCCGGGGACCCCATGAGTTGTCAGTCCGCCCCTGATTGTCACACCACTTCCTCAAATTCAATCTTTCTAAAACTGAGCTCTTAATATTCCCTCCAGTCCGTGGCCCCTCTCCTGACTTCTCCATCAAGATTAATAATACAACCATCAGTCCCTCCTCTCATGCCAGGGTACTAGGCGTAATCCTGGACTCTGATCTGTTCTTTTAGCCCCAAATCCAATCACTGTCCAAATCTTGTAGACTTCACCTCTGTAACATCTCCAAAGTACGTCCCTTTTTATCCACTGAAACCACTAAGCAACTTCTTCACTCCCTTGTTATCTCTCGCCTTGAGTATTGTAACTCCTTCCTCATTGGCCTACTTAATTGAAGGCTATTCTTTGCTCAGTCTATCATAAATTCTGCTGCCAGACTTATCCACCTTACCATCTGTTCTATGTCTGCCATCCCTCTCTGCCAATCCCTTCATTGGCTTCCCATTGCCCAACGAATACAATTCAAAACATTAACAATAACATATAAATCCATTTATAACTCTGCCTCCAAATATCACGCAAACAGTCCTCTCTACTCCTCCCAAAACCTCCTGCTCTCTAGCTCCCTTGTCTCCTCCTCTCATGCTCGTCTTCAGGACTTCCCCATCCTCTGGAACTCTCTACCCCTGTCTGTCCAACTATCACCTACACTGCCCACTTTTAGGTGATCCCTGAAAACCTATCTCTTCCGGGGAGCCTATCCTGCCTTCAGCTAAAAACCAAATCTTCTATTTCACCCATCAGTTCATCCCCCACAGTTATTACCTTTTGTACCACCAGCCCCTCCCTATTAGATTGTAAGCTCCCAGGAGAAGGGCCCTCCCTACCCTCTTTTATTGAACTGTATCATTGCTGTATTGGCTCCCTTTATATTGCAAATTGCTGAGCAAACGGTTGGCGCTATATAAATCCTTAATAATAATAATGCCTGCAACTGCAGGCATCAACCCAGTACCATTTTTTAGAGACGGCGGTTGGCTTTCTTGTATAAGCAATCAGAGCGGTCTACTAGCCACTGCATTGCTTGTACAAGCAGCTGGCAGGAATGTTTCCCCCCTTCCTGTGGCTCCCTTGGGATCTCCCTTACCATGGGGAGTCCTGCACAACCAGCTCATCTGCCTCTCCTTTATAGAAAACCAGAAGTGATGGTCTGACATCATAGTGATCGTCCCACACGTGAAGTATCTCTACAAAAGTCAAATCATGGGCAATAATTTTTAGCATTAGGCCTGCTCTGTAAATCTAACGTGGTAACCTGTAAAGGCTTTTAAAGCATCGCCTAATAGTAAAATTTACGTTGTTTGTTGCCGTTGCATGGGCAGGTGCAATTTTAAAGTGTGACATGTTTGGTATCAATTTACTTGGCAGAACAACTTTTATATTTTACCAAAATTGGTTTATGTATTGTTTTTTTTTTTTTGCAATAAAATAAAAAAAAGTGTATTTATTCCCAAAATTGTGTTTAAAAAAAAAAACAAAAAAAGTTTAATACAAAATGTTAAAACCACCAATTTATTCTCTAGGGTCTGTTTTTTTAAAAAAATATAATGTTTTGTAGCAAAAATACTGATTTTAAAAAAACAAAAAGTGCCAGAAATCACTTGACGCTGCAGTGGTTACAAAATAAATGTTTGGGGGTCTTCAGTGATTTTCTGCCAAAATAAATGCTGATTTTTACTAGTAGAGGAATGTCAGAATTGTCCGGGAGCTGACGTGGTTAAACATGCAATACACCACCGGCGTGACCAGACTTCACTGGGAAAATACAATTCTCTGTCTCTCCAATAGCTCACTGTTTCCAGCCTATACCATAGTCGCCCCTAAGTCTGTATGACCAGCAGCTCCTATCCGAGCAAGCGCACTCTTCACTACATGTGCTTCCCAGGGACATTACTAATGCACAGCTGCCTTTAGACCATGTGACCGACCTCTACCAATGAGCTCGCCTGTGAGAACCACTTGCAGGAGCCCTGAGTCTGCAAGGACATCGATGATTGGGGTAGCCCTCTTCCGGAAATGAGGTAATATTGAATCGCCGGAAGAGGCTCTCTCTTTCCTGCCCTGTGTGTGGTGTATTGCCGGGGTTCGGCCTGTGTTCTTCTGCAGCTGGTGACCATGTCTTACGGGAACGAGGAATACGAAGTGAGTCTGCTTATTCAGTGGCAGTGAGAGGACAGAATATCATTATGGTTGGAATGGCGAGGGAGTGAGATGGAGCTTTACTCTGTAATGTAAAATCCAGTTTCCAGGGACAGTCCTAGTTCCTGGAGATAATGCTGCACTATAGAAATATACAATCTTCTGCACCATGCTATATTACTATGCAGACTAGCGGGAATACAACATGTACAGTGCAGCAGATCGGGTATACAGATTATAGTGGTCCAGACTATGTCTTGTATAGTCAGGGTCACTTCTGGGTTAGGACAAGAAGGGGAGGGGAGTGGATGTGTCCGCTCTCCTCCCTCCAGCCGCAGACGGTGAGCCGGTCCTGGGATGCAGATGGGCAAGCAGAGCTCGGAAGACAGTGGACTGGGGGAGCTTCACATGGTGGGGCGGAGAGGCTTGCACTGTGTGGAAGCATTCGGGCGGCAGCACTGCCATCCGAATGCTTCCACCTGACAGGTGAGCCTGCTTCTTTCCCGCAGCAGGGCTGAAGGTAAAAAATAACTACTTGCCCGGTGCCCGAAACTACATGTCCCGGGGGTCGGGCGATAGGAATTCAACATTCCTGTATAGCACAGTATACAAAATGCATGAACTCAGACTATGCCATGTTCAGTGCTGTGCACAAAATAGAGGAATCCAGACTGACTTATACAGAATGTGGGGGATTAAAGGAGAAAGTAGGGCAAAAGCTGTGTTTGCTGTACTTCTATGGATCACTGGAATGTACTTTGCTCTGTTCTGCACTCCTGTGACCCGTTTTCAGCTGACAGTGGCTTTAGCCCACTGACATCACAGAGCCGTGGAGAGATCCCGACTTTAAGTTGGGATCCACCCAGATTCCTGACTGGCAGCTGGTCTAATCCATTCACTCCCGCCCCCTCCACAGCCCAGTTCTCCAGTGAGCGCTGGAGCAGCAGAGCAGTGATCCAGTTTCTAAGTTTCTGGCTCATTGCTCACAGAAGACGAAAACTGAGTGATCAGCGGTCTTTGATTGCTCAGTTCTCAGTCTTAGAAGCAGCATTGGATCAATGCTGCATCCACCTAGGTGAGTATAAATTTTTGTATATATGAAACCCATACTTCTCTTTTTAAGAACATACTATGCACACCACAGTATACATAATGCAGTGAGCAAGATTGTCATGTGCAGTATAGTACACAGAATGTGTGAATTGAGGCTGTCAAGTGCAGTATAGTTTACAGCAGGGGTATCTATACTTTCTAAACAAAAGGGCCAGTTTACTGTCCTTCAGACTTTTTTGGGGGGGGCTTGACTGTGACCATTGGAAGTAGAAAATGTCCAGGCATAAGCGGGAGTAAACAATGCTCCATCTCTGGTGTCAGTGAGAGAAATTGTGCCCCATTGTTGGTGTTATTTGGTAGAAAGAATTATGCCCTATCTTTGGTGTCATTGGGAGGAACTGTGACTTTGGGGGGAATTATGCCCCATCATTGGTGTCAGTGGGGGGAAATTATGCCCTGTTATTCGTGTCGGAGGATAAAATATTGCCCCAACGGCTGGATAAAATCAAGCAGAGGGCTGCAGTTTGGAGATCACTGGTATACAGTATAGTACACAGAATGCAGAGGTCCAGACTGTCATGTACAGTATGGCACACAGAATGTAGTTGTCCAGCCTATGTCATAAACAATATAGTACACAGATTGCAGGGGTATTGGATCATCATATACTGTACAGTATAGTACACAGAATGCAGGGGTCCAGACTGTCAAGTACAGTATAGTACACAGAATGCAGGGGTCCAGACTGTCAAGTACAGTATAGTACACAGAATGCAGGGGTCCAGACTGTCATGTACAGTATAGTACACAGAATGCAGGGGTCCAGACTGTCATGTACAGTATAGTACACAGAATGCAGGGGTCCAGACTGTCATGTACAGTATAGTACACAGAATGCAGGGGTCCAGACTGTCATGTACAGTATAGTACACAGAATGCAGGGGTCCAGACTGTCATGTACAGTATAGTACACAGAATACAGGGGTCCAGACTGTCATGTACAGTATAGTACACAGAATGCAGGAGTCCAGACTCATGTACAGTTTAGTACACAGAATGCAGGAGTCCAGACTCATGTACAGTTTAGTACACAGAATGCAGGAGTCCAGACTCATGTACAGTATAGTACACAGAATGCAGAGGGCCGGACTATGTCATGTACAGTATAGTACACAGAATGCAGGGGGGCCGGACTATGTCATATATGGTATACTACAAAGAATGCAGGGGTACAAACTGTGTACGTGACGTAACATGCATATTTCTACATAAAAATACAGAACAGCGTTTATTGTGGCACCATATAGTATAGTATGCGGTTTAAAGAATAAAGTGCAGTGTTCTAGAATAGATTATTTGCTGCAAAGTATACATAACACAGAATAGTTTATGCAGTGTATTAGGAGTTTGTAACATACAGCACAGGGTGTCGTGGTCTGAAATTAGTTTTTATTATTTAGCTAAGGGGAAAAATTACAACCCTCTTAAGTCACATGTTATTGTAATATTTATGTTTATTTGAACATTTTTTTTGTTTACTTTTTTTTTTTTTAGACTCCCTATGATCCTTACAACTATCAAGCAGATTATGATATGCACACAGGTATGAAAATATATGTATTTTACTTTTTAGTTGCTGTAATGTTAATTTGTAGATTTGCAGCACAGTTTGGTCCGCTGGAGTGGTCGGTGGTAAAGTGCATGAAAACAATTACTTGTTTGGAATACAGCTTTCAGGTGGTCCAGTTGGGAATCCATGTGTTCAGTTCCTAATACTGTATCTATAGCAGTTAATGATCGTCTCTACATATGTACTGTACTTTTTAGATTGTTTAAAATGGATTTTGTAGATCTATATTTTGTTGTCGTAATGTAGCAGTAATAACTATGCCATATTGTTATTACATGTGTAAACCTGTACACACATTTTAACTTTTACTTGCAGTATTTTGTTATTGAGCAAGTTTTCAGATAGAATACCAGACAAAAAATGTAAGTCAGATTTTAATGTCTGTATTCCTGTCAAGGGATACCCTTTGTTCACTGGAATTGGAAGTGGGTAGAACCTATTCTATGAGGACACAGAAATAATAAAAACATGGGATGTAACGAATTTCTACTCTGTCCAAAACATTGTTTTTAGTTTCCTGAAAAAATAGGTTTGCAAGCAAGCAATGATTGTGCATCAAAGCTGAACTAAACCCTCCTGTCATTTTCACCCAAGGAAGCTGCCATCTTTGCCTCTGTTTGATCGTTAACTGCCAAGATGCTGCACATGTGATCAGTTATGATACCAGCCATTTGATGATTTGATCAGTTTAGTTGAGAGCACAAGTCAATGTGACAGTTACATTCTCAGAATGTGCCGGAAATGTAACTGTTTTTTGAAAATGTTAAATTGATGAGTTTAGTTCCACTTTAAGCTGTCTGTTTTACTACCTAATCAACTTTCATTGAAAATAGGAACAAACTTTCTTTATTACGTTGCTAAAATTAAGCACTTGCAGTGACTCACAATTGTGTTTTTGGAGTCTGCCACTGATGGATGCTTTGTAAATGCACCGGTCAAGTATCTGGAGGCATTCAAATACTTTTGTATTTTATGAAGGGTTATAACTAGCTAGAACCCACAGTAGGGCAGCAAACAAAGTAAGGCATTAGTATTGTCCACATTTTATAACAGTTGAGTATCAGAACTCCTAAAATCAGCTTTTACTGAGTAAACAATTCTATCACACAGAGGCAAAGGGTAGAGGCTGTGATTTACTGAACAAGATTTCTAGTCATCTAGCAAAAGCTAAAATAGCCCTGGAAACTTGTCACCAGCTGGGCACAAAGATCAATGGCATATGCACTTCACTGTTGATAGTAAAGTACTCACTCCTACAAAAGTCTGAAAGTTCCATACATTGCATTCCTAAAGTGGCATTAAAGCTGAACTCCAGGATAAGCAAGTACTGTCCAAATACAAGGGGCATGTGTGTTCATACTTGAATCTTGCTGTGCTTTGTGTGAAGTGGGGAAAATAATTATTTGATCCCCTGCAGATTTTGTAAGTTTGCTCCCTTACAAAGAAATGAAGAGTCTATAATTTTTATCATCAGTGTATTTTAAATGATAAAGACAGAATATCAAGCAAAAATCCAGAAAAAACACACGCTATAAATGTTATAAATTAATTTTCAGTTCAGCGAGTAAAATTAAGTATTTGATCCCCTACCAACCAACAATAATTCTGGCTCCCACACACTGGCTATGTGGTACACAGATTAGTCCTGTCAATTTCAAGAAGGTGCTTTTGACAACAGCTCGTTATGTGTATAAAAAAAAAACATGTCCACAGAATCTTTCTTCCATTCAAATACCCATTCCATCATGGGCAAGACCAAAGAGCTGTCAAAGCTCTCCAAATTCCTTTTTTTTTTTTTCTTTTCTTTTTTGCTATTTTGATCATACTTTCTGTTAGAGGGTGGTTACATCCCATTCTATGTAAGAACCTAAGCACCCTCTCTTGCTGACTCCCGAGATGGACTAGGGGCCATGGGTTTTGTAGCTTGCACAGAGCAGTGTTCATGACTGCAACTAACATCCACTGCCCATTCCGAAGAAACAGAAGTGAAGGGAAAGGTAGAAATTCAGGAGCTCACAGAGGACATTAAAAGGAGGGAGAAACACATTAAGAAACCATTTCGTGAAAAATTGATAACAGGGCCCTTAAATAGTGGCTGTGTATGGATGATGAGGATAATGCTTACTGCCACTGTAATCTTTAATGCAACCATTAGAGAAACCCTAATCCGTGCCTTGTCTGAGATCCTGAAAATGCAGCAAGATTTTTAGATAAAATAACTTCCCCGGTTAACATGTTATGCTGTGTCTATAATTATATGATTGAGTTTACCTTCTCAGACTCAAGGCAAAAAGATATTTTTATTTTAAGATATGCTAAAATAGAATGTGTAGTAGTATATGATTGAGGGATGGTGTAAGCACACTTGGAAGTCCACAAGTCCTTGGTGAGGTTTAGAGCATTGAAGGAACTCTAGAGAGATAAAGGGGATTACAGGGAGGGTGAGAAAAAGCCGCAAGAGTGGTATTGACTGCAAGAACATGCGGATTGATGGTCCAGGATATCTATACTACCCTTGGGAATAGTATGAATATTACTAATTTGAGGAGCACCAGAGGTTTTCAGTGTGCAACAAAGGGTGAAGGAGGAGATGTACTTTGAGCATTAGTTAATGAACTTTGCTGTCTTCAGAACGTTCAGGCTGTGGAATTGCACATATGTAACTTTCCTGCTTGTGGTGGTAATATCAGAGGAATGATCTACTGAAATGACTTGTTTGTGTTTTTCGTTTTTTTTTGTCAGCTAAAAAAAAAAAAAAAAGCTTTGACTTTCGAAGGCTTTTCACCTAGACAGATTGGGGGAAGTCAATTGGAGCATGCAGCTGTAGCCATCGATTCTTGTAAAATAAATTATCCAGATTGATAGAAAATTTGAAGAGTTTGCCAAAATTTTTAAGCACCTTGGATCTGTTCAAATCTGGATGTTGATTTTTTTTTTTCCCTTTCCCTTCCTGTGTTTTAGGTGATCCTAAACAGGATCTAGCATATGAGCGCCAGTATGAGCAGCAGACATATCAGGTCATCCCTGAGGTGATCAAAAACTTCATCCAATATTTCCACAAGACTGTGTCTGATTTAATTGACCAAAAGGTGTATGAACTACAAGCCAGCCGAGTATCCAGCGATGTAATTGACCAGAAGGTTTATGAGATTCAAGACATATATGAAAACAGGTATGACCTCTGATTCTTAAAACACCTAATCTACCCAGTCGAAAAAAAAAACCAAATAGGGCAGATCTGCTTTTCTGTTCCTCAAAGTGCAGCTCTTTGAGTCAGCCAGCTCATTGAAACACTGTTCTCCTAATGTGGTTGATATCTTATCTCAACAGCTGTTATACTGCTATGAAGAGTGAACCTAATGGCTAATCTACCCATCTGCAACAGTGAATGTTAACCACTTTTCAGTCTCCCAGAGAAAACACTGAGGCTTCAGTTTGTAAAGAATAGTTTTCCTCAGTATAGGATGGGTTTGAATGAAAAATACCTTTCTATTTATAAAGCATAGCAATGTCATGTACATGACATTGCTGTTTCTTAGTGCTTTATCTAGTTCATGAAAATAACCCTTTAATCCACCCTTTAGCTTCATAACCCATATACAAATACTGTAGTTGCTGACTTCTAAGAATCGGGTACTCACCAATCCCTGGAGGCCAGCACCATCTTCCTGCCATCCCCAGTGCTGCCAATTGAGATATGGGAGACAGCTGTGACTTCCTGAGGTATCACAGCCAACTCCCCACTGCACATGTGCGAGATCACTGGCACTGTCAGACTGGTTTAGTAGCCCATTGGGACCCGTGACATGTTGCGGAGGGTGTGGGCATGTGCCGTGCCTAAGTGTGTGTCATTGTTGCCAAGGCAAGCCGTGAGAAAGTAGGAGCTATTCTCTGTTGAAAAAAAGTTCCTGCTTTTACTTTGCAGTGAAGGTCTGCTTTAACCACTTCCCGTCCGACCCATGTACATAAATGCCTGGACAGGAGCAGTGCAGGAGCGGGTTGCCGCTCATAAATGGCGCCCGCATTTACAGGCTGTGCGCGCTCCCTGGGAGCGTGCGGCACTGCAATCCTCTGTACACAGCGGAACCCCGATCACTGTACAGGACTTCTGTGTGAGGTCCCGATCATGTGATCGCTGATTGGCCAGTTAGCGATCACATGAATAGTAGTAAGCATGATGTCACTTGGTGACATCATTGCTTACTACTTTTGAAATCTGTGAATGATCACAGAGGTCACATGGTACAAAGCTATTCACAACAGTCTTGTACCATGTGACAAGCTGTGACCAATCACAGCTCTCACAGTATTTCTCAATGGTTGCAAGAATGCAGTCAGAGAGGAGAAATTATTGCTTTTACAGCCTTTATGGGTGTAAAAGCAATGTGTGTTTAAAAAAAAAAAAAAACAAAAAAAAACAAATCTTCATCACCCCCCAAAAGTAGTACAGTGGCACTAGGGTGAAAGTATGTTTAATAAAAACAAAAAAAAAAAAATAATAAAATAAAAATGTAAAACAAATTTTTAAAAAATTTTTATTTTTGCTTATAAAACTAATTAGGGTTATTTGTTTTACTAAAATGATAGCCGAATACATTTTGGCCAAGATTTATGAAGAAAGATTATAAATTTTATAAGAAAAACACTTTTTTTTTCAAAAATTTTGGACTTTCATTTATATAGCAAAATAAAAAAAAAAAAATCCCAGTGGTGAATAAATACCACCAAAATAAAGTTTTATCTGTCTCCAAAAAAAATTCATATGGGTACAGTGTTGCATGACCACACAGTTGTCATTCAGAGTGTGACAGCACTGAAAGCTGAAAATTGGCCTGGACAGGAAGGTGGTAAAAGTGTCTGGACTTGAAGTGGTTAAAGAAATTGTAAACCTACTTTTTTTTTTTGTTAACAAATAAGGCATACACATTTGCTCTATGCAATGGTTTGGCGCAGAGCAGCCCATATCATGGGGGCAGCACATTGGCTAAGTAGTTAGCACCTCCACCTAGCAGCACTAGGGTCGTCGGTTCGAATCCCAACCGTGGCACTACCTGCCTGGAGTTTGCATGTTCTCCCTGTGCCTGCGTGGGTTTCCTCCCACACTCCAAAGACATGCTGGTAGGTTAATTGGCTTCTGTTTAAATTGGCCCTAGTATGTATGAATGTGAGTTAGGGACCTTAGATTGTATGCTCCTTGAGGTCAGGGACTGATGTGAATGTGTAATAAATATGTAAAGCGCTGTACGTAAATTGATGGCCCTATGTAAGTACCTGAAATAAGTTTAAAAAAAAATATCTTCCTCTTCTCTGGTTCCCTATCGTCCCTCCTGGCTTCTCTCCCCTGCCATGTTCCCTCGTAGCAAGTGGCTTGTGTGGGCTTGATCCTTGCTCTGTATGTCCATTGACACACAACGCAGCTTGGCCCCGTCCGCCTCTCTCTGCTCACTGGCTGTGATTGACAGATTGGGCTCGGGTACATATTTAGGGGGAGCTGGGGGGGGGGAGCTGCATGCAGCAGGTTTTTTACATTAATGTAGAGAATGCATTAGGGTAAAAAAAACCTTTTGCCTTTAGAACCACTTTAAGGTAACCCTTTCAGGATCCGAGGTCTTTGATGCCTAAATGCCCAGAATTGGCATGCCTGGGTAAAGTTTGCAATAACTAATTTGCATACCTAATTTTTTTAAGGGCATATAAGCCTTTTATTTGTTACACTACTTCAACAAAAAATATTTTTTTTATGCTGTGAAAACCGTGCAAAAGTGAAACCATTTATTTTAACAAAAATGTATTGTAGCTTACCAGTCTTTAGATATGGTGGCTGATATTGTTATTATTATTCAGGATTTATATAGTGTCATCACATGATCAGGAACCCCTTTAGTTTTGCTAGTGACAGCTGAGATTGAGAGGCAACACCCAAGCAAAATGTAGGGTGCTGCTGGCCTTCATAAGGAAACTTTTATGAACGTATTCCCAGCATGGAAATTTAAACTAGGGGAATTTATTTACAGATTGGGAAGTGGTTAACGAAGTTAAACTTTGCAGGCTGGTTTGCACCAGGAATCACACAGGAATGAGCTGTGCAGTTCACATGCAGTTCTGTGGGGTGTGATTGCAGCCCATTCATTTTGAATAGGCTGAAATGGCACTGCACTACCATGCACTACTTTTGCAAACTCTTTACTTCTGTACCATGCAATCCATTGCAGGCAAACATGCTGCTTTTGTGATTTGACAGATGTGGTATTTCATGTTAGTATTTGGAACGCCCATGTGTTATGTTTCTTTGTGTGCACGTTCGACGTGTACTTCAACTAATTTGCACTCCTTTTGTAATACAGTTGGACAAAGTTAACAGAACGTTTCTTTAAGAATTCTCCCTGGCCTGAAGCAGAAGCCATTGCTCCCCAAGTTGGAAATGGTAAGCGTGAGAAACTGTTTTATCTGTCTTTATATTGGAGATAATTTTAAACATGCAGGCTGACTGCCAATCAATGCCACAACAGTTGTGCTTAAAGGTGAACTCTAGACTAATTATAAGATGTCTAGAGAGGCATTAATATTAGTACATGCACTTTGCTGTACAGATTTGTGTAGTACTTCAGCACTATTTATTTATTACAGGTACTTGTATAGCGCCATCATTTTATGCAGTGCTTTACATATATTGTACATTCACATCAGTCCCTGACCCTCAAGGGGCGTACAATCTAAGGCCCCTAACGTACATTCATACAAACACATAATAGGGCCAATTTAGGCAACCTATCAGCATGTCTTTGGAGTGTTGGAGGAAACCCACGCAGGCACAGGGAGAACATGCAAACTCCAGGCAGGTGGTGCCATGGTTGGGGTTAGAATCAACGACCCTAGTACTGCCAGGTGGAAGTGCTAACCATTTAACCACTGTGCTGCCCACTAAACAACTTCTGTACTGTGCCACCCTAGTTGTCTGCGAGCAGCCTGTAGTGGATATACCTGCTACCTCCCACCCACAGCGCTGCTCTTTGCAAAGGCCTATTGCAGAATAGTGATGTCACCACCCTTTTACAATGAAATATCTGGGTTTGCAAAGGCATTTGGTGAACACAAAATATTATATCCTGTTATGGCCATTGAGGAATTTATTTACATAAAAGTATTTGTATCTTAAGTTCAACTTTACTTCAAATCCATCAGTCTTCACAGAATGGAAACTGTCATCACCCTCTGCTAAGTTACTTGGATATATTTGTTTAAGAATTTCTTAGTTATTTTATTGTTCCTGTATTTAGCTTTTTCTACTTTCTTTCAGATGCAGTGTTCCTAATATTATATAAAGAACTATACTACAGGCACATATATGCCAAAGTCAGTGTAAGTATTCCTTGGGATTGGTGTAAGGGGTATAGGGAGAAAGGTAGCATTTGTCATTGTTTGATCTGCTGTGCTATTATCTGCACACCATTTCATACAGGACACGCCATAAAAATGCTTGCCTAGATGTCTTTGGTTTGCAGTTAACTGACTGCGTTTTGTGTCTGTAGGGAGGACCCACGCTAGAGCAAAGATTTGAATCCTATTACAACTACTGCAACCTTTTTAACTACATTCTTAGTAAGTGTTTCAAAAACCTGGGTGAAACAAATTGTATGAATATGTTAAATGGAAGAACAGTGTAAATTTTCATCTTAATTTTGTAGATGCGGACGGTCCAGCTCCTTTAGAGTTGCCTAACCAATGGCTGTGGGACATTATTGATGAGTTTATATACCAGGTAAAAAATTACAAGCGCTTCTGTATCTAATTTTTCATGTGATTTTATTCTCACTTAGTCTGTTTGTTTTGATATGGAAATATTGGGTTTAAGAATTTAGCTTGAGCTGCCTTTCCAATACTTTAGTTCCAGTCATTCAGCCAGTATCGATGCAAGACTGCCAAGAAGTCAGAGGAAGAGATTGAATTCCTACGCTCTAACCCTAAAATCTGGAATGTGCACAGTGTTCTGAATGTCCTGCATTCTCTAGTGGACAAATCAAACATCAATCGTCAGTTGGAGGTGTATACCAGTGGAGGTAAGGGAATGATCCAGTGCTCCTATCCAATGTAGATTTTGAGCAGAGTACTTGCAGAAGAAAGGATTTTCGTCCTGTTGGCACTAGGGGATAAAGGGGTGCTTAGTTGGTGGAAAGGGGGGTAATATTTCTGTAGAGTCAGTGTGTGCCTTTTTTGCAGTTTTCAGAGAGAAAAAAAATATGTAGACTGCCCCTAATAGCTTAATGGAGGGCAATGTACTGAGTCTTGTTCTCTTGCATTTGAGCACAGTTTTTAATGTGTTCAGCAACTTGACCACACAGAATGGAGCTGCATGTCCATCACTGTGCTAATGGCTTCCAGCTGTATAACCTTCACTAGAATGCACGCTTTTACTTGTCACAAGAAACATTTAATTCATTAGTGGTTAGCTCAAATCGGTTCAATGCAGACTCATGAAGATAAGCCTACTAATGTGTACGCAAATGAATCCAGATTAAGCTAACCTGGATATTTATCCGCTCATTTATAGCCGCAACACATGTGCATCTGAGGTTCCCCATACCAAAATAAATATATTAAAGCAGAATTGAGTGTTATGGAGCTGTGGGAGTTCTTGCTATAATGTTCAAGTATTCAGAACGTACTTGCATGTTATGGCACAGTACCTGATAGGTCCAGGCTCAAGTCGCCACTCCATCACTCACCACCACCGCTGTCGTCCTCGCAGCTTCTTCTGGGTCTCACAACAATCCCCTACACTTGCGTGCAGGACTTACATGGCCACGACCACATATTATTTTCTCTGCTTGCAAAACATGAATGGGGATATACTGTGCACATAGAGAATTTAAAAATATCCAAAACTTTTTTGCTCATCGCTTCTGCAAAAAAAAATCTTCTAGCAATTTGTTTTTTTTTTTTTATTGCATGTACTGCTCTGCTTATAAATAGCATAAACAGAAAATGCTTTGCATCTACTTAAACTATTTTTGTACTTTTAGTACACTAGACTGGCTTGGACAAATCTTAGAAAACAGATTTAAAGTGTCAAACTTTCCAGAACATATTTTTCATGAACTATTTCTAATGATTTTTGGCTCCATGACATCATGTTTGCTTTTTGCTGTTCCTGAATTCTTTACATTTTGTCCAACCCACTGACTTTATCTTACTATACTTGCTAAGCCCAGAATGTGTTTTTTTTTTTTTTTTTTGCCCCACAGGGGACCCCGAAAGCGTGGCCGGAGAATATGGCAGACACTCTCTTTACAAGATGCTTGGGTACTTTAGCTTGGTTGGATTACTGCGTCTACACTCACTGCTGGGAGACTATTATCAGGCCATCAAGGTGTTGGAAAATATAGAACTGAACAAGAAGGTATGATCCCCTTTTGAAGGAATTTTTTTCAAATCTCTCGGGGAGCAATGAGCTTGGAAGTGCTAAGGTTCTCATTCCGGGTTCAAATCTGTCAAATCCCAGCTAGTAGTGTCAGGTTAGTGGCAAATGAGGAACTCTTTTCTCTATCTGCTTGACTTGAGGCATTAAGATGGCATTAGATGTTTGATGCCTCCATAAAGACAACCTACATGAATTACAAATGTGTTTTTTTTTTTTTTTTTGGTTAAACCCTTTTGGGGGTTCCAAGTCAAACTGCATTCAGCAACTCTGCTTTGTGGGCACTAATTACAGTGTTGACTTTATTCACTTTAACCAGTCTGCTGTGGCTGTCATGTGACTTGAAATAGGTTAATGAGGACTCTCCGTATAGCTGACATGCCTATCTGCTTATGTAAAAGGCATAAAAGGTGTGACAGTCTTCTTCCAAGAAGCTATTGGTAAAGACGAAACATGTTGGGCTGTGGATGGACATAAACAGAGTGAGTTTACTGAATCAATGTACATACAGCAGTCATGTGATTTATGTCATATGTAACATGCTGAGTTTCAAGAATTTGGTGAGCCTCAATTTATGTGGAATAAAATATAGAGTTTTGGATTTTATTACACTATTATTATTATTATACAGTATTTATAAAGCGCCAATAGTTCGCTCAGCGCTGTAAATTACAGAGGGGAACAGAACATGTGACAGAACAATACCAATACAATGCAAAACATGAGGGGATCGAGGGCCCTGCTCTTTCGAGCTTACAATCTAGGAGACTATTGAAAAGTGTTTTTTTCCTTGCATGCCATGAGCCTATTATCACACTGAAAAGGCACATACAGATCGAAGTTTAGGTTTCCTTTTGATTCCCTATTTTCTATTTGCATTCTGATATGTAATTTATTTTCGGTTGTCTATTTTGCTCTTTCATTTTGTCCTTTCAGAGTATGTACTCCCGTGTACCAGAATGCCAGGTCACCACATATTACTATGTTGGTTTTGCTTATCTCATGATGAGAAGATATCAGGATGCAATACGTGTCTTTGCTAACATCCTGCTTTACATTCAAAGGACCAAAAGTATGTTCCAGAGGACAACATACAAGTATGAGATGGTGAGAAGAAGCCTCTGCGGTTCAGATTCTTTCAAAACCTTTTTTCTGTTAGTCTTTCTAACCTGCCTTCTTGCCTCTTTACAGATTAATAAGCAGAATGAGCAGATGCATGCCTTGCTGGCAATTGCCTTAACCATGTATCCTATGCGCATTGATGAGAGTATTCACACACAGCTGAGAGAGAAATATGGTGACAAAATGCTGCGCATGCAGAAAGGGTAAGAATTCATGCTGGGTTTTGTTTGTCCAAAACCAATTATTATAACGTCTAAGAAAACTAGTAAACATTCAAGCTCATGCATATAGCTTTAAAGTGTGCTTTTCCTTATAAACTCATTATCAGACAGTGTTGCTGATTGCCTTGGCTCACTTTTTTTCTTTAAACAAAAATGGGTGAAAACAAGATTTCTATTTTCGTGCAACTAGGCTTCTATTCATATGTTCTCTTTTGACTCGTGATCTTTACTCGGGTTCATCAACGCAGAGTGGTAAATTTTGGACAATTTGTGTCACTTGGGCATGAATGTGCTTACGTTTTTGCTTTTTTTCCATTATTTACTGCTGGGAGGGAGAGAGAGAGAGACAAAACTTCAAATCCTAAGCTACTAGCCAGGACTTATGAGTCACTTGTCACCAGTTGCCCCACCCAACATCTACCCTGCCCCACCCCTAAACACACCCTTGTTAATTATCTCATGAGATGGCACTGTTAAATGTTTTATGCAGCATAAAGGGAGGGAGGGAAGAAAGAAAGAAAACAAGGAAGGAAGGGAGGGAAGGAAGGCAGGTCGGACGCACATGGATGGTTCCCGGCTCATATGCTAAGTCAGAAGCATCACAGAGCTGCTGGCTTCAGCCTCTCTCCTCTCCTATTGGTGCAGATGATGGGGGAGGGGCTGGGCATTGAGGAACACACAGGGGGGACACTGGAAAAAAACTGAAGGATTGAGGAATATTGGCGCAGTAGTGGGGGCAGTTACAAGGACCAATCCCCTGTATGGCTTTTAATGAAATAAAAGAAATACAAAATAACCATCAATCACCCTCGGTCTGGAGCTCCATGCAAATTTCACCTCCTGTGGTAAGGATGATCATGAGAAAAGTGAAGGATCAGCCTAGAACTACACAGGAGGAGCTTGTGAATGATCTCAAGGCAGTCGGGACCACAGTTGCCAAACAAACTATTGGTAACACAATACCTGCCATGAATTGACATCCTGCAGCACTCGCAAGGTTCCCTTTCTCAATAAGGCACATGTACAGGCCCGTCTGAAGTTTGCCAATGAACATCTAAATGATTCAGAGAAGGATTGGGAGTAAGTACTGCGGTCAGATGAGACCAAAAATTAAGCTGTTTGGCATTAACTCGACTTGCCGTGTTTTGGAAAAATGCTGACTATGACCCTAAGAACACCATCCCTACAGTCAAGCACAGAGGTGGAAACAATATGCTTTGGAGCTGTTTCTCTGCTAAAGGTACAGGCTGACTTTGCCGTATTGAGGGGCCAATGGACGGGGCCATGCATTGTAAAATCTTGGATGCGACTCTTCTTCCCTCAGCCAGAACACTGAAGATCAGTCGTGGATGACTCTTCCAGCATGAGTGACCTAAAACACTGCTATGGCAACAAAGGAGTGGCTCAAGAAGAAGCACATTAAGGTCATGGAGTGGCCTAGCCAGTCTCCAGACTTTGATCCTTAATTTATGGAGGAAGCTGAAACTTCGAGTTGCTAAGCAACAGCCAAGAAACCTTAAGGATTTAGAGAAGATCTGTAAAGAACAGTGGACCAAAATCCCTCCTGAGATGTGCGCAAACCTGCTAACCAACTACAAGAAACCTCTTACCTCTGTGCTTGCCAACAAGGGTTCCGCCACCAAGTACTAAGTCATGTTTTGCTTGGGGATCAAAAACGTATTTTACTCACTGAACTGCAACTCAATTTATAACATTTGTATCCTGTGTTTTTTTTATGGATTTTTGGTTGATATTCTGTCTCTATCATTTAAAATACACCTATGATAAAAATAATAGACCGTTCATTTCTGTATAAGTGGGCAAACTTACAAAATCTGCAGGGGATTAAATTTTTTATATATACACACATACACAGTGTTCAGCATAAATGAGTACACCCCTTTTCAAAAAAGTAAGATTTTATATAATATACCAATGAACACAAGAACAATTTCCAAAGTTTTGACAAAACTGAGATTTGTAGAACATTTGTTTAGCTCGTTACATGAAAGTAAGGTTAATAAAATTACTTTGATTGAAAAATCTTTAGTTTTACGCAAATTAGTTGATGCAAAAATGAATACACCCCACAACAAAAACTAAATCTAGTATTTTGTATGACCTCCATGGTAAGGACAGCACCAAGTCTTCTAGGCATGGAATGAACAAGTTGGCAACATATTGCAACATTTATCTTTTTAGAGCCTGGATGCTGGATGGAGAGCGATGCTCAACTTCTCTGCAGATTTCCATATTCCATAGGTGTTCTGTTTGGGTTCAGATCAGGAGATCTACTTGGCCACTGAATCACTTTTACCCTGTTCTTCAGAAATGCAGCAGTGGCCTTAGATGTATGTTTTGGATCATTGGCATGTTGGAAAGTGCACGACAACTAAGGGGGCACGGAGTGATGGTAGCATTTTTCTTTCAATATAGAGCAGTACATCTGTGAATTCATGATCCCATCAAGTGAATGCGGCTCCCCGACACCAGACGCACTCATGCAGCCCCACAGAAGGACACCGCCACCACCATGTTTCACTGTAGGCACCATGCATTTTTTCTTGGTACTCCTTTTACCTTTGCGACGCCATACAGTTTTTTGAAGCCATGAGTACCAAAAACATTTATCTTAGTCTCATCACTCCAGAGTACAGAGTCCCAGTAGTAGTCGTCTTTTTCAGCATGGGCCCTGGCAAATTATAGGCGGGCTTTTTGTGTGTGGGTTTTAGGAGAGACGTTCTTCGTGGACAACACCATGCATGCCATTCCTCTGCAGTGTACGCCATATTGTGTTGTGGGAAAACAATCACCCCAGTTTGGCTTTCTACTGCTTTAGCTAACTATAGTAAACTTGCATGGCGATTTCTTCATTCCTCAGCAGAAAACACTCCTGTCGAGGCGTTACCTTCTGTGAATAGCCTGGACGTCTCTGAGATGGTTGCAGTTCCATCTTTGTTACATTTTTTGTATCACTTTTGCTACAGTATTCTGACTGATAAGTAAAGCTTTGCTGATCTTCTTGTAGCCTTCACCTTTCTTGCGTAAAGAAATTATTTTCTTTCTCAGGCCTTGTGACATTTCTCTTCCATGTGCTGCCAGCATGAATGGGAAGGGGTTTTCTTTAAGTAACGCCCTTTTATAATCAATTGTCTTGGATACGATTTAATGAATAATTAGACTTACCTGTAGTTGAATTCTTGTTAATTAGGATTTTGTTGTCTAAAATGTAGCTTTGTTCCTAAGATTGTGTGCAAATTAACAAATCTTGTTTGCAATCAATGGCCTGCAGGGGTTTGCAATCAATGGCCTGCATTTGTGATAGTCCCAGTAGTTTTTTTATAGTGTCCCATAGAAAATTTTGAGTCTGAAAGGAAAGTGTGTGTGTGTGTGTATATATGTGTGTGTTTGGTTATGTGTATGTATATGTGTGTGTGTTTGTGTGTGTGTGTGTGGTTTGTATATATGTATATATATATATATAGATATATATATATGGATATATATATATATACAGTCATGGCCGAAATTGTTGGCACCCTTGATATTTCTCCAGGGAAATCATGTCACGAAACGTATTGCATTAACACATGTTTTGCTACACATGTTTATTCCCTTTGTGTGTATTGGGACAAAACAAAAAAAGGGAGGAAAGAGAAAGCAAATTCGACATAATGTCACACAAACCCCAAAAATGGGCTGGACAAAAGTTTGGCACCCTTTCACAACTGCGGATAAATAAGAATGTTACAAGCATGTGATGCTCCTGTAAAACTCCTGGGCAAGTAACAGGTGTGGGCAATATAGAAATCATCAACCTGAAAGCAGATAAAAAGGAGAGACGTTTTTAACCTTTGCATTGTGTGTCTGTCTGTGCCACACAAGCATGGACAACAGAAAGAGGAGACGAGAACTGTCTGAGGACCTGAGAACCAAAATTGTGGCAAAATATCAACAATCTCTCAAGGTTACAAGTCCATCTCCAGAGAACTAGATTTGCCTTTGTCCACATTTTTGCAACATTATCAAGAAGTTTGCAACCCATGGCACTGTAGTAATCTCCCTGGTCGTGGACGGATGAGGAAAATTGATGAAAGATTAAACGCAGAATAGTCCGGATGGTGGATAAGCAGCCCCAAACATGTTCCAAAGACATTCAGCTGTCCTGCAGGCTCAGGGAGCATCAGTGTCAGCGCGAACTATCCGTCGACATTTAAATGAAATGAAACGCTATGGCAGTGAGACCCAGGAGGACCCCACTGCTGACACAGAGACATAAAAAAGCAAGACTACAGTTTGCCAAAATGTACTTGATAAGCCAAAAGCCTTCTGGGAAAACGTCTTGTGGACAGATGAGACCAAGATAGAGCTTTTCGGTAAAGCACATCATCTCTACTGTTTACCGAAAACGGAATGAGGCCTACAAAGAACAAAACACAGTACCTACGGTAAAATATGGTGGAGGTTCAATGATGTTTTGGGGTTGTTTTGCTGCCTCTGGCACTGGGGTGCCTTGACTGTGTGCAAGGCATCATGAAATTGAGGATTACCAAAGGATTTTGGGTCGCACTGTAGGGCCCAGTGTCAGAAAGCTGGGTTTGCGTCCAAGATCCTGGGTCTTCCAGCAGGACAATGACCCCAAACATACGTCAAAAAGCACTCAGAAATGGATGGCAAAGAAGCGCTGGAGAGTTCTGAAGTGGCCAGCAATGAGCCCAGATCTAAATCCCATTGAACACCTGTGGAGAATCTTAAAATTTGCTGTTGGGAAAAGGTGTCCTTCCAATAAGAGAGACCTGGAGCTGTTTGCAAAGGAAGAGTGGTCCAAAATTCCGGGTGAGAGGTGTCAGAAGCTTATTGATGGTTATAGGAAGCGACTGTTCAGTTATGTTTTCCAAAGGGTGTGCAACCAAATATTAAGTTAAGGGTGCCAATACTTTTGTCCAGCCCATTTTTGGGGTTTTGTGTGACATTATGTCATATTTGCTTTTTCTGCCTTGTTTTTTATATTTGTTCCAATACATACAAAGGGAATAAAACATGTGTATAGCAAAAAACATGTGTTAATGCAATACCTTTTTTGTGTGAAATACTTGATTTTCAGGAAAAATATCAAGGGTGCCAACAATTTCGGCCATGACTGTATATATATATATATATATAGTCAAGTATTTGCTTTTTAGTTGGAACTAGAAGAGTGTGTGAGTGTGTCACTTTCTTGAATGGGTATTAGAGCTAATGCACACGAGCACATTTGAACATCACTAGAATTCAGCATATTACTGGGGACAAGTTCTCTTTTATTGAGATATCCAGGGTCTAAAAGAGCCTGCATGTCTCCCCTGTGCTCCCCAGGATGTGATACAGTGCACAATATTTCAATGGGGACCCGGAAGTGACGATACAACCTCACTTCTGGGTCCCCTGTAGCCGACAGCGGTGTCCCGGGCTCGCAGATGGGCGAGTGGAGACCTCACGGCAAAGGAGAGGCTGGCACCGCCCAAATGCTTCCAACCGACAGGTGAGCCCTGCTGCTTGCCTGCAGCAGGGCTAAAGGTTGAAAAGCACTACCTGCCCAGCGCTCGGGGACTACATGTTCCGGGCATCAGGCAATATGAATTGAACATCCCTGAGAGTGTAGTTGGGAACACAGAATAGCAATGGGGGGTGGAACAGAAATGGAGCCACACTGGTTAGAGAGAGGGAGATTAGAAAAGAACCATAAGCCTGTGAAGCCGAATGTGTGCAGAAAGCCTCCAGTACTGTTAAACAGAAACAGCAGGTGCTTTTCTGTAAAGGAGGTAGGAGTGTAATACTAATTAGGAAAGCAGGGAGGTAGCTTGGAGTATGCCCACTGAGTGCAGAGCTGTATGTGTACTAAAACCCTGAAGTGTTGCTAACAGAAATGATTTTTGATTGTGTTGTGTGGTTTCTTTTTTTTTTTGTTTTTTAAACAGAGATGCACAGATTTATGAAGAGCTGTTTAATTTTGCATGTCCCAAGTTCCTGTCACCAGTAGTCCCCAACTATGATAATGTTCACCCAAATTATCACAAAGAACCCTATCTACAACAACTAAAAGTCTTTTTGGATGAAGTTCAGCAGCAAGCTCAGCTGTCCACTATCCGTAGGTGAGTCACATTTGCAGACTTTGCAGGGGTATGTTATTTCTGTGTCCTGTTACTTCATATCCCTCTCTTGCCCTCAGCTTCCTGAAGCTTTACACCACCATGCCTGTAGCCAAGCTTGCTGGGTTCTTGGATCTTCCAGAGCAGGAGTTTCGGATTCAGCTACTTGTTTTTAAACACAAGATGAAGAATCTCGTTTGGACTAGTGGCATCTCTGCATTGGAAGGAGAATTTCAGTCTGCCTCAGAAGTTGACTTCTATATAGATAAGGTGACTACAGTACAGGATAACTTAAAAACTGAAAGTGAAAATCTGATAAAGATAGAATAGTATGTCTTACTTGGAATATATATTTATAGCAGTAGTGGTCAACTTTCTTGATTTGGGAGGTGATGGGGCAATTATCTCCTTTTTCCCCTGCCCAGTCCTCTACAGACATTCTACTTGGTCGTCTAGTGGCTTTTCTCTAGGTCCAGCGCTGAACATCTATTGTAAGTGAAGGTTGTAATTGACACCGCTCCTGCATTATCAAACAGCCCGGGCTCATAGTAAATACTGCATAGACTGTCACATGTCATTATGTGAGCATTGTTCTATGCAGCACTGAGGGATGCCAGTTCTGTTTTGTTATATTAAGGGCTGGGAGAAAAAAGAATTATAAGGTACTGTATGTATGCTGGAAATGTTTTAAAAATGGGAATCGAGAGGGGGGTCTGAAAGCTGCAGTTGTGCTTTAAGCTTAAATTGTGATAAATGGAGTAATGGCATCCTGATACTTGAACCTATTTCTTCCATGTTAAAAAAAAAAAAAAAAAAAAACAACAAAAAACAAACTTTGAGATCAATACAATGACAGGATAATACAACTTTTAGATTAAAGCCAATCGTGTATAACATAATGCCAATGGATAGCACAGAAAAAGGAAATTAAAGAGGTATCAAGGGGATTTCATCACTAAAACGAAAAAAAAAAATTCGAAGAAATATAACATTTTCTGCTTGCGGAAAAGCCATGTGTGAGGAAAAACATTATACATATAGCAATGTCCCTGGGACTGGAAGTGAGGAAAGTACCGCAGGGAAATAACCCACAGATAAAAGGTTAGCAAATCACCTACGGCCCACAGAGTGGAACGCTCCTTAATTAAAATCCATTACATAAGATAGATTCTAAAAACACTCAGGTGAGCTGCCTTAAACACACGTGGCAGACTGCGCTAACCATGTATCCCAAACCTTGTTATATTTAGAAGGACACCCTCTGTGTAACCTACTTTGAATTGTAGGTGGGGTTGCCTGCATTTAGTTCCGCACAATCACTGTGTGTGCACTAAAGAGTTTTGTGTAGAAATATGGTAGAAACTTATCGATCTCAAGGAGGAGACAAAGCAGGTATTGTTTTTAGGTAAGGGAGAGAGGAGAGCCCATTTGGTCATGGAGAAACTGAACTATTTGGGTCCAAAAAGTCTGTACAAATGGGCACGGCCACCTAAGATAGTAAAAAGTACCCATGCTTGCTGATCATAGGGGGCAAAATGGGCTGTGGGATGGTTTAAGGTGAAAGACACGAACTAGAGTCAGGTAAGTCTTGTACAAAATATACATCTATGTTAAGCCATGAGCCCATTTCTTTAACCTTAAGTGGTTGTAAAGGCTTAAGGTTTTTTTTACCTTCGTCATTCTATGTATAGCATCCTCCCCACTCTCCTAAGCCCCCTTCTCGATCCAGCGATTGTGCACTGGAGTCAAGGCTATCCCAGGACTCACTCTCCTCATTGGCTGAGATAGCATTGGCTCCTGTTGCTGACAGTCACAGCCAGTGAGCCAATGAGAAGAGAGCCAAGCCACGGCTCCATGTGAGAATGGACACACAGAGCAGCTGTTGGGAAGTGTGCATGCTCACATGCCCCCATAGCAAACTGCATGCTGTTGGGGACATGCGACAGGAGGGAGGGGCCAGTAGTGCTGGCGAAGGACCAGAGAAGAGGGGAATCTGGGCTGCTTTGTGCAAAACCCCTGCACACAGCAGGTAAGTATAGACATAATTTTACAAAAAAAATATGTTAAGGCTTAGCAATCACTTTAGCTGCTTGTAAGCATTACATGATTATTTTATGTGTTTTCCTTCTGTGCATGTGCTTAAAATTGTAATTCTGGGCAGTTGCCATATCTTGCCTTTCTGAATGCTAGGGTGATGTAGTCGACTACTCTAGCAATTAGTAATAAAAATAATAGTACAGGAGCTTGATAATCAGACAGCTCATTATTTTTGCTTTATTTTGCGTTCATTATTTATTCCTTTGCACATGGATTATCGGTGGGCCGGACAGATTGTTGGGAGCTGAAGCCAAGGCTGGGATGAGATGGTACCAGCTTTAGCAGAAATCTTAGTAAATAAAGAAGGTTTTTGAGAAGACAGATGTGAAAATAGCATAATTTGACTACTAGTGTGTTCTAAGTTTAGAACATTTTACTTTTTTCTTTTTTGCATAGGTTTTGGACTTCCACAGTTCCACTTTTTAAATGAATTTATTCTGAGAATACCTTTTTAAATATTTTACATTTTAATTGTTTAGCCACCACTGTTATTATACAGCATATCTTACTATTCCTTGTGAAAAGCATTGTGCTCACACCCCTGTCTGTAGAAAAACATGGAGGAGAAAGCATGCTACTTTTTTTACATTAGCGGAACTAAATTGCACCTGAGCACCATGAACAGAAAATGCTATTTAATTCACTTAATATTTAAAGCAAACTCACCCACCCATCCATGTCTCCATAACTTATTTTGCTGCAAAATCTCTTTGAAAAACACCCCCTAGCATTTTGGCTGCAGCCATCTTGAGTAAGGGAAGATGATTCATGTTGCATTTACTTCCTGGAATTCATCTGAACTGTAAAGCTTGCAGGCAGAAAAAAAAAAACATTTTTAAAACACATGAATATCATAAACTTTTCCAGTACATTGTGGGTGGGCAGGAAGTGGTTAATAGATTAACCACTTCCTGCCTACCCACAATTACTGCGGCCTGGCAGGAGGTACAGGCTTTGGCTGTACTAACACAAGGGCAGCATGCCCCCCCCCCCCTTTACATGATCACTGCGCAGCATGACACCCATCTCTTGGTGAGATTAGATAATGTAAGGGCAGGGGAGATATCTAGAGCCTGATAGACCCCAGATTTCTCAAAAAAAGAATATATGACAATGCCCATTGAAGTTATAGGGGCTATTTGCATTCCCTGTGGTAGCATTAAAAGTGATAAAAAGGAAAAAAAAAAATTAAAGGGACAGTGTAAAAATAATTTCAAAAATCAAGCGTTGACCCTGTGCTGGTATGTTGCACCATACATGTGAGGTATCGCCGTGAACGTCAGATAGAGGGAAGTAATTCTAGCACTACACCTCCTGTGTAAATCTAAATTGGTGACCTGTAAAGGCTTTTAAAGCATCGCCTATCGATAATAAAAATGTATGTACTTTGTTGCCATTGCAGGGGCATGCGCAATTTTAAAGCATGTCATGTTTGGTATCCCTTTACTCAGCGTAACATCTTCTTTTATATTTTATCAAACAATGGGCAATATAGTTGTTTTGTTTTTTTTTGCATTAAAATTCTAAAAAATATAATTTTCCGAAAAGATTTGCTTTTAAAAAATTGATGCGCAAATACTGTGTGACGTAAAAAATTTCAACACCCACTGTTTTATTCTCTAAGGCCTCTGCTTTAAAAAAAAAATATGTTTGGGGGTTCAAAGTAATTTTCTAGCAAAAAAAAAAGTTTTTTTCATGTGAAAAAAAGTGTCAAAAGGCTTGGTCTTCAAGAGTGGGTAATGTGTGGCATAAGCTTCTAATGTTGGCCCTGAACTGCCAGGATAATAGAAGCAACCCCTCCAAATGACCCCTTTTTGGAAAGTAGACACTCCATGGTATCTGCTAAGAGGCATGGTGAGTGTTTTGCAGATCTAATTTGTTGCCACGTTTTTGGAATATGAAGAAAGAGAAAACAAAAATGTGTTTTTTCTTTTTCAAAACCCTGTGACAAAAATATCTGTAAAATACTCACCATGCATCTTATCAAATTCCTTGTGGTGTCTACTTTCCAAAAAAGGGTCATTTGGGGGGGAGGGGGAGGGGTGTTGTACTATCCTGGCATTTTAGAGCCTTTGAAACCGTGATAGGTAATGGGGAAGTGATATGAGGAAAAATGACCTTTGAAAGCCTGGATGTGGTCATTGGATTTTGGAGGCTTGTATGTAGCTAGGCTGCCAAAAAGTCTCTCATGTGGTGTCCCCATACTTTGGGAGAAGTAGGAGAATGTGTTATTTCCACATATACCCATGGCGTGCATGAGCAATATATCATTAAAGTGACAACTTTGTGTAAAAAATAAATAGTCATATTCAATATATTTGGCAAAAAATAAAATGTTTCATGGACTCAAAATGCCTCTCTGCAAAATCCTTGGGGTGCCTACTTTCCAAAAAGGGATAGTTTGAGGGGGGGGGGAATTGTACTGCCCTGGCATCTTAGCACCTCAAGAAATGTGATAGGCAGTCAGAAAGTAAAAGCTACGTAAATTCATATATATATATATTTGTAGCCGCTATAACTTTCACACAAACCAATTAATATACACGTATTGAGATTTATTTTTTTTACCAAAGACATGTAGCAGAATACATTTTAGCCTAAATTTATGAAACTTTGAGTTTATTGGATATATTTTATAACCAAAAGTGAAAAACATTTTTTTCAAAATGTTCGTTTTTTTTTTTTGGTTATAGCGCAAAAAATGAAACCGCAGAGGTGATAAAAAATACCACCAAAAGAAAGCTCTATTTTTGTGAAAAAAAGGACATAAATTTTGTTTGGGTACAGCATTGCACTGTGCAATTACCAGTGCTGAACAGCTGAAATAGCGCAGTGCTGAACAGCAAAAAATGGCCTGGTTAAGGGGGGGGGGGGCGGGGGGGGTAAATCCTCTGAAGGGCAAGTGGTTAACTAATGATAGAATAATTAGTCCATGTTTATTAAGAGAGTTTTTAGTTCTCCTTTAATGCGCATTTAGGGGGCAATGCTGGGATCCTTTCTAAGATGTGCCAGGGTATACGCTGCATTGCACATGCACTGCAGGCAGTGTACACTATTTTAAAAATTGCTGCGAGAGACGGGAAAAGTTTTTTTTTTTTTTTTTTTTGCTAGCAGAAGAGACCTAAAAATAAAGTTCTGATATTCTAACAGCTTAAATTGCAAATGAGAAATCACACTTTAGAGGTTTTACTGGTTAACGCTTCTTTTTTTTTTTTTTTTTTTTTTTTCCCCCCCCCCTCCAGGATATGATTCACATTGCTGACACCAAAGTGGCTCGGCGCTATGGAGACTTCTTTATTAGACAGATACACAAGTTTGAAGAGGTAATCTTTCTTTGCATGTCTATAAATCTTTTTACAGAATAATTAAAAAGGTAAACATTAAACCAGAAGGAGGGCCGTTCAAAAAATCTGTAGGAAAGAAAATGTCTGTTGTGCATTCCTGATCATATTCTAGCTCCTTCATTTCCAAATTTGAAAACTTAAAGCGATACTAAAGGTTCATTTTTTTTTTTTTTTTTTTTTTTTTTTTTATTGTTATAAAATAACAAACATGTCTATACTTACCTGCTCTGTGTAGTGGTTTTGCACAGAACAGCCTGGATTCTCCTCTTCGAGTCCCCTGCAGGCGCTCCTGGTTCCTTCTTTCTGTCGGATGCCCCCATAGCAAACAGCTTGCTATGGGGGCACCTGCTACTGTGTCCATTTACACACGGAGCTGCTGCTTGACCCCACCCCCTCTCTCCTCATTGGCTGACTGGCTGTGATTGACAGCAGCAGGAGCCAATCGCAGCCAATAAGGGAGGCTGTCATGCACATTGCTAGATCTTAATGAGGCTCAGGTAAGTATTGAGGGGACTGAGGGCACTGCTGTACACTGAAGGTTTTTTACCTTCATGCATAGAATGCACCAAGGTAAAAAAAAAAACCTTGAGAAGTTACAAAAACTTTAAAGAAGACGTTGTGGACACATTCTTCAGTTCTGCAGATGGCTGCAGTAAATTTGTTGTATCCTGCCTACATTGGGATCAACTAATCCAAATGCACTTCAGTACATACAGACCATAGCCACCTATCATATTTAGATTAAGTGTACGCTTGCACATGTTCACCTTGAGCCCAATGATATGTAGATTCTGGCATATTTTACCCTTCCAGGGGCTGTATTGCGGCGCCCAGAGACATTTATGGCTGTACTCGGGTATACCCTGGTGCATGTGTAAATACTCGTTTTAGAGTGCAGGCGTACTCTGTTCTTGTAATACATGTATACGCCCAACTACAGCTGCGCACAGCTAGCTATGTCTGTGGGCAGCTTTACATGTGTAATATTTACTACTCGGCTAATCTGGTAATATTTAATGTGTTTGGATTGTATAGCATGAATTTTCAAGAAATTAGCTGTATGTAAAGAAATCTTTTTTGTTTTTTTAATTTTTTTTTTTTTTTTTATATATAGTTAAACAAGACCTTAAAGAAGATGAGCCAGAAGCCCTGAAAAATCCACACAGACAATATATTTATAAGGATTGGAGGTCAAATGCAACTTCCAAGTACACAGTCAAAATTTGGAAGGACTCTATTGTTTTAATAAAATGCTCCAAATATTTAAAGACTTAAGTTTGTCAATAACTATGCCAATTTTACAGGTGCCCAAAAAGAGGTGGTGTCATACTCATTAAGAGACCACACTAATATCAGATTATGGAATTCTAAACATGGGATAATGTGATTAAAGTGTTACTAAATTCAGGGCCTGGCCTCCACTATATCTGGTCTCCCACAGCACACAGAACATGGAAATGCAGTTATTTTAGTAAACATAAACTGCTAAATACCTTTTCTTCTCAGCAGTTAGAGCAGTCTTGTGGCTTCTGTGTCCAGCCCAGCACTACCTAAAGCTTGTAGGAGGAGTTTACATTCTGCTTTTGGGGATGAAAATCCCCTGACCTCTGTCTGGACAGTGCTGATTGGCCCTGTGCTGACCACATGCACTCTCCCAAGAAAAAAAAAAAAACCTCTCTAGCATGTACACCAAACCTGCATGCATATGATTCAGTCTGGAGATAAGTGGCGGTCGCTTGAAAAAGGGGAGGAAAAGAGAATAAAGGATCAAACAGTCTTTTTACACAATGCAGAGGATTAACCCCTTAGGTTCCATAGTGAGTATAACAAGCATGCTTTACTGCATATACAGACTGATTTTACTGTTGTGGGTTTAGTAACACTTTAATATCAGAAAATATAAACATTATTTTTTACTTGATGCAGTATGTCAGTACACCAGCACAAAGACAAAGAAAAAAATAGCATTCTGACTTCCAGCAGGGTGCTATACAGGTCCAAGGGAGTAGATCCCAGATGTAAGGGGGACCAAGTTCTTTAAGGTGTTTTCTGACAAAGCCTGTCGTGATGGGTGAAGGATGGACTCCTGTTATGATTCAGAGTTCTGCAGTGGGCATGGCAATTGTTTACATTTGTAGTATTCCTTTGAAAATCTGACTGGTCATTACCTCTTGGACACTGGGGGCAGTGTGCTGTTTGGTCTGGCTGGGCCATGCACTGTGTGTCTCTGAAGGCGTATTGGGTTGCAGTTTTATCCTCCAGCCTTTAGACCACTCTATAGCGTACACATTTACAGTGGAGGCAGGAAGTAGAGGGGTGGCCATTTTGGCTTATGGTTGAAGTCAGGTGGGTTGAAGGATCAGTGAGGCTTCTGAGAAATAGCAGGGAGCAATCTATGACTGGATGATTGTGTGAGTACTTTGAGTTGGAACTGCATGACCAGACAGGACACGAGTATACACTGCATTAGTGTGCATAATCCGGGGGGGGGGGGGGGGGGCCTGTACAACTGTTTTCTGATACATCCCTGCACGAGTATCTGTGCACTTCTAAGATTTGTTGCTCCAGAATAGCTTGCGTTTGATCTGTAGGAGCTTACATTTAGACTGCACTGAAGCAACATAGAGGCTACATTCAGGCTGCGTTTGTTGCATATGTGCTTGGCAAGCCCTGTAAAACTAGTATAGCGCCCAGTGCAGTTAATTTTGACACTGTTCTTTGATCAAACAATATGCTTCTACAAAGTGGGGCAGGTGCACCATTGTATTACATTATTGCATGCATACCTGCATAAATATTTGAACTGTATATTTACATAAACTGCATATGTAGATGCATACTTTAATGCATAAACTGCATACGTATACTTGCATAAACTGTATATGTGCATGCATATTTAAATGCATAATCTGCATACGTGCATAAACTGCATGCATGCATACATACATACATAAATGTATCTGTACATGTATACGTAAAATGCAATTGTGTCAGGTGTATCTGGGCCACTGCGTTGTCTAGCATTGCAGCTGTTCCTGGTGGCAGAGCTGGAATGGACTGTGGCCACATCATCCTCAACGTACCTGATCTCCTCGGAACTTGGAGGAGGGTCAGCCTTGGTCAGTACTTGTAGGGGAGACTGCCTAGGAATACCAGGTGCTGTAAGTTTTTCCCCTCTAGCCTCCTAAAGCTGCTGTGTTTTTGACAAGTATTTCAGGCAGAGGATGCTAGGGCAGTCTCTGAGGTGACCTGCTCCGGCTTTAGTGGCAGAAACCTAATAGGTTAAGTACATCTCTTGGGACCTTCTGGGTTCATCACAGTTATTAGGCTTTTGCCTTGCATTTTCGCTTGGAGCAGAAATTATGGGCTCGTTATTGTAAGACACTTGACAGGTTCGTGGGCCCAAAGCCAAACTGGGGCGTAAGGGCTATCTTACATCTCAAGTTACTAGATCTAAGTCTAAACATCCTGTTATGAATGGGATTAGTCTAATCAGTGGTGGTGCTGCAAAAGATAGATTTCCGGTGTCCATAGTCCTCAATGACACATATCTTCCTGTGCCAATCTTTTCAGGCTCATCAAGAGTTTCTGCTTTTTACAGTAAAGAATCGCCATTCCTTTTTTTGGGCACTGTCCTTTGGGCTGGCCACAGCCCCCCGAGTGTTCACAAAGCTCCTAGCCCTGGTGCTGGGCTTGCTGTGAACGCAGGGGTGTGTCAATCTCAAAATACCTTACTGTTCCTTTGCTTAGGGAAGAGTTTGCTCCAAGTTAAAAATATAGGAAGCAAATGGTATCCTTTGATGCGTCTCTGCACAAAGAGTAGGTATCTGCGTTGAAGCGGGTCGTATGTGCAGGTCCACCCCAGAGGAACATTCTGTCTGTCTGTCTGTCTGGATCATGAAGATCCAATCATTGGATTGCTGGAGGGCTTTGTCCCAGTGGTATTGCTGAGTCCAAATTGGTGGTTGTTCGGAATCTGGAGAAGGGGTCATTTTCTTTCCAGGGATATGGAACATAGTAACCATTGATGCCAGTCTATCTGGTTGGGGGCTGCTTTAGAAATGGCTACAGTTCAGGCTACTTGGTCTCCTATCAATATCTTGGAGCTTCAGGCAGTACGCCTTGCTCTGAATTATTGGACAAACCAGTTGCACTGTCTGCAGTATATGTTCCAGGTATAGAAAGCAGGGTTTTCACCCAGTCATCAGCTGCTAATACAGGGAGAGTGGTCCCTGTATCCGGAGACATTCTCGGCAGTATGCCAGCTTTGGGGAACTCTGGATGTGGATCTACTGGCTTCCAGATTCTACAGCAAGTTAGACAGGTTGTGTCCAGGTCAAGTCCCACTGGCAATACGGGAGATGCCCTGGTAACACCTTTTAGGACCAGTTCTCCCTAATCTGTGCCTTCTCCCCGACTTCTCAACTCTTGCCACATCTTTGAGCAGATTCTGGGAGGAGGTAACTGATAATAGCGATAGCTTGACCTAGCCCAGGAAGGGCTTGGCACACCAACATAGTGTATCTGGCAGTGGACAATCTGCTCAGACCTATTGTCTTGGGTCCAGTAATTGTATCCTGCTTTACGATCGCTAGGACTGAAGGCTTGGCTATTGAAACCCAGGTCTGGAGGGGGGGGTCTTGGTTCCTGTTATCTGTCCACTGTTGAGTGCCAGGAAGATGTCTTCAGGGAGCTTTCATTATGGGACCTGGAAATCTTGTATGCCTGGTGTGAAGCCAGGAAGTTGCACCCACGGAAATAAATGATTGGGAGATTTTTTTTTGTATTTTCTTCAATCAGGAAGGGAAATTAAATTGGCCATTTTTTCCCAGAGATGCACCCACGATAATCAAGGATTTTGGGTCGCACTGTTAGGGTCCCAGTGTCAGGAAAGCTGGGTTTGCGTCCACGATCCTGGGTCTTCCAGCAGGCCAATGACCCCAAAAACGTAAATTGGCCCTTTTTGCACTCAGAGATTTGTTTCTCCTCCTTGATTAGTACTGCATGCAGGGTGAAACGCAGACAGTCCCGTCTGTCAGGCCACCCTTGTGTCTTTTTGGGCTTGAACATGGTCTTGGCTTTTCTTGCAGAAGCCACCTATTGAACCAGTTTGGAGAGACACAGTTAGTCCTTTGACTCGGAAGGTTGCTTCTTTGGCTACTATCACTTCGTCAAGAAAAGTGTCAGAGCTGTCGGCTCTTTCATGTAAGGAGCCATTCCTGGTCTTTCGTCATGATAAGGTGATGTTGTGTTCCCATACATCTTTCTTGCCTAGAGTGGTTTCTAGTATTCATTTGAATCAGGACAGTGTCTTGCCTTTCTTTCTTTGTCTTAGTCCACAGTCCGCAGGGGAAAGATCGCTGCATACTCTGAATGTAGTTCGGGTTGTCAGGATTTACTTGAGTTTGGCAGCACAGGCCAAGGAATCCTGTGTTGTTGTTTTTTTTTCTGTTTTTGTTTTTTTTCTAGAAGGCCCTAGAAAGGGCAGGCAGCATCCAGGTCAGCTATTTCTCATTGGATCCACCAGTTAATCACTCAAGCCTATGATTTGAAAGGGCAACTATGATTTGAAAGGGCAAGGTCCCACCCTTTCAGGTGAGAGCACACTCTACCAGGAGTGTGGGGGCATCTTGTGCTATCTGCCATCAGGCGTTCAGGTTTGCAAGGCCACTACATGGTCTTCGGTTCATACATTCACAGGGTTTTACTAGGTGGATGTCAGAGCCGCGGAGGATTCTGTCATTAGCCCCAGTATTACGGATGGCTGAGTAGGTCCTTTTGGGATTTATGGCAGTGGTTATTATGGTGTCGCCCACCCCTCAGATTTTTATTGCTTTAGGACATCCCACATAGTCATTATCATAGCCCACTGTTATGATCCGCCAGGTGGTGCCTCTGGCTGCCCACTTGACAGACCTACCCAAAGCGTGGAGTCTAAGTCCCGGTCTGTGCTTTCACCAGGGCCCCTGATGGTGGGGATGGACTTGTAACAGACCAGGACCAGGTCACGACCTCTGAGCAGGCCCACCAGTGGCAGAGGGAACCTCCGGGGATGTATAGGTACCGGGAGAGCCAGATGTGAGGAGGCCGGCAGGACCTAGCAGGATGGATCACGAGCAGTGGTCCCGTGGGGTAAGCGAGGTACAGAATCGG